CATAGATATTTTTAGTAATATAGGCGTAATAGGAGAGAATTATGTATTAGAGACTATCTATTATATAAAAATCTCTATAAATTTAAGCATTATGTAAGTTTTATTACTAAATAAGTTATAAAAGATTTTCTCTAGCTACTTTAGGTAAGCTATAATAAGGATCTTATTAGTTAACTTAGAACTACCTTATAGATTTATAGCTCTAATCAGACAGAAAAGTGGCTAAAGATTATCTAAATATCCCTATATAGTATATCTCTAAATAAAATAATTTATCACTCTTTAGTATTAATATGTTAAAGCTCTAGACCAGTAAATATAGAGTATAATAATAGCTGTAGCAGATTAATTAATTAAGCCTATAAGGATCAAATAAAATAAAACTAAATTAGTACTTTTAGTACTAGATCTTTACATTCCTAGTGCTATAAAGCTAGAAATACCTTATAACTTACTATATAAATAATAAGAGTTCCTTAATCAGTTTTCACTATCCTTAAACTTCAGCTTACTAGGAGATTTATATATAAAAGTCTCTTAGGGCATCTGCATCTATCTAGTCATTTTATTATAAATTTTTTATACTACTGATTCTTTGATTGATTACTAATTATATCTATTTATATCTCTTTATAATATCTATATGTTAACAGGCATGTGATAGATTACAATATATATAGCTAGTGTCTAGAAAAGCTATTACTAAGTAAGAGCTAAAAAAGCTTTCTAGTATTATTAAAAATCTGTCTACTTAATAAGATTATAAATATCTTCTCTACTCTAACTTACTAGTAAAGTGTACCTATTATAGATTATTTTATTTGAATAAGCTTATATTAGAAAGTTTTAATACTCTTAATAAAATTATCTAGGATAGAATAATTCAAGATATAAAGGAGATACTACATATATATAAGACATTATCTAAGGAATTACCCTAACTTGATAAGAGGATTTTTAAAGAAGAGAAGAACTAGCTTAATTAGAATAAGAAGAAAGAAATTATAAAGAAAATAGAAAATCTATATATTAAATAGAATTTAAAAAGAGTAGATAGTAAGTAGTATAAGATTAATCACAGCTTCTATCCATTAACTCTGATCATAGAATAGTATAATAATATAGAATAATATAATAACTATCTTTACTAGATTAATAACAAGTCCTAATTCATAGTCTATAAGAAATAGTATAATTTTATAGTATATAATTTATATTTCTATATAAGCTTATAGCTTCTTATATATTATCTTACACTACTATTTAGAATATTATTATTAAAAGAGATAGATAAGTATAAGACTTACTAGAAAGTATAGATTATTCACTCAGACCACCATAATGAATTACATTTTTAGGATTCTAAAGGATCAGCGAGGGTCTTTTTCTATGGTCAAAATAAGTCCCAGAATAATACTCTTTTATTAGTGAATTTAATTACTCGCTGGAAATTCCCTCACACCTATAATGAGATAATTGTGAGAAGAATAATCTAAAGAATTTAATACTTTATAGTTTTTACTTTATTTCTAGCTCAGAATTGCTGCCCAGCTCTAAGGATAATAAAAGCTGACTTAGAATAATTATCATTATCTACGATATCTTTGTTTATAGGTGTTATGGGGGGGTGGAGAGAAAGAGAGATCTATTTCGCTTTACTCTCCTAGATTCTGTCCTAACATACCACTCTTTTAGTATCTTATATATTCAAATCCTGTTATTCTCTATCGTATAGATACTCTGATCTATTTTTTCTTATTCTGACTATGAGGGCAGGTTATCCTCTAAGATATATATAGATATATATATATAGTTATTTATACTTATAGAGTAATAATAAGCACTTATTATAGACCTAGATCCATCTTAGTTAAATAGCGTTATATCAAGGTACACTAGGCTTTAATAAACTATATAAAAGTTCAATATTAAACATCAATATAGTAGGCTAAGTAAATAGAATAATAATAATTAATTAATACTAGAAGTCTTAATATAACTAAGATAGAAGAGATCTCCTATATAGCTTAATACTTATATAAGTATAAATATCTTACTAACTCTTACTATTATATTCAAGTGACTTATATCAAAGAATTATAAAGAACTAAATATATAATAGTAAAAGAGTATCCTTATATATCCAACTCCTCATATTCTATATATCTTATATTATATACTTTAAATATAGTGAATATAAAGTATATAATATCCTTTCAATAATATAGTGTTATTTTATATACTTATTATCTTATTAGATAATAGTATATTATTTATATCTTTATATGACCTGGTGTGTGTCCTATACCATTATATCTAGTTATATTATACTATTAATAACTAGTTCTTAGTTAATCTAGTATAAGTTCATACTAAAGTGAACCTTCTCTCTCCTATTCTAGTATTTTCTAGTGTTATATAAGTTAATTTGTAACAATACTCTCTTATCTTTCTTCTAAAATATTACCAAGAAGACACTATAATAAATATAGAATAATATAAGAATAATGTTATTCTAGAAATAATATTATATCTATTAATATAATTTTTATTTATAATACATATATAGTGATAAAAAAGAATTCTAGAATATTTAAAATTTTAAATCATACTATATATTTAATTCACTCTATTAAATTATTTCTAATAAAATCTGATAAAATATAATCCATTTTCAATATATATATGTGACTAATTAGGATTATAGAAAATTAGTTTATCTAATAGATTGTTATTATCCTTATAGCTTTAAGTTAATATGTATTTACTATTACTATAATAGTAATACTTGCCAAATAAGTTGCATAATATATTCTATTCATAAGTATTCAAAACCTATTTAATAAGTAAAATATTATAGAGAGATAGTAAACTTAAAAAATTATAACTGTCTTACTATTTTGGCTTTATTATTTTAGTAATCTTTATATATCACTAAACCTTATCTAGATTGAAATCATTAGAGTCATTTCAACGCTCTAGTACTTTTAAGAAATTTCATTTAGTGATTATTATTTAGGAGAATTAAAACATACCTATTATTATTAAAGTCTGAAGTTTGTATTCTTTAAATAATAATAATAACAATGCTATATCAGGTGTATTAAATCTATAGAAGCATGCCATGGCAATATCAGACGCTCTTTGTATGTCGCGCTCCGTTGTTATATGCTCAGTAGACCATCCTGAGCGGAGAGCTCCAACACGTTTTGTCCATGATCCCGTTTCAGCGGAATCCGCAAATTCAGGATAAAGGTCATACACTTGTTTGCAAAACCAGTGCGCTGTCACGGACCTGGATCCACCTTAGTTAAACAGCGTTGTGTCGAGGTACGCTAGGCGTTGCTGAACCACACAAAGGTTCGGGGTTAAACGTCGATATGGTAGGCCAAGTGGATAGGATAACAATAGTCGATTGGAGATGGAAGTCTTAATATAACTAAGATAGAAGAGATCCCCCGTATAGCCTGGTGCCTGTACGAGTATGAATGCCTTGCTGACTCTCACTGTTGTATTCGAGTGACTTATGTCAAAGAGCTATGAAGAGCTAAATACATGATGGTAAAAGAATGTCCTTATATATCCCACCCCTCACGTTTCGTATACTTTATATTGTATACTCCTCAAGATAGCAAGTATAAAGTATACGATATCTTTCCAATGATATCTTGTTGTTTCGTATACCCTTATCTTATCCAAGATAACGGTATATTATTCATATCTTCACGTGACCTTGGTGCGTGTCCTGTACCGTCGTATCCTGATTTCACTTATTGCCAGTGACTGGTCCTCAGTTAATCCGGTACAAGTTTATACCAAAGCAAACCTTTCCTTTCTTGTTATAGTTACTTTTAGTGTCATGCAAGTCGGTTCGTAACATGCGCGCTTCTACACACATAGATTGTTTAACTTGTTTCACCCTAACACATATTAGGGAAAGCTCCGGATTAACCATATTCCAAAAGTTTCACTGTATCGAATCTTACTGTAAGAATTGCATGACGTCACTTGAAATCTCAATACGTAGAAAACAGTCCATTGTTCGTTTTTGCTGGAACCTTCCATGCAATCCAGGGGGCAGGGGGGAACGTAGTCAGCTGTCAACATGCTGGTTGCCTTCGTATTCCTGACTTGCCATCTACGTTGGCAATAAGGGCCTAAATTTGAGTTGTGCAGGACGCAACTAGGTGGAGCTACGCTATATCATGACTCTGCTCATCATTCTTCTCGGCTTGTTTGCACCACCTTCCCTATGCTGGTGATTTGAATGAGTGTTCTACTGATGTCAGACTCGTGAAACGATAGGTTGATCGGCGGCATATTTTGCCTTGAGGAGAGGGGTTCTGTCCCTTTAAACAATGAACTTGCTTCTCAAATAGAGACTTGGGAACAGGCTTCGTTCTACGCCCCTACTCCGGGTAATCTCGACCGCCTGACGCCATCTGTTTATTGTCCTTCCCCAAACCGTCTAAATTCCGAACGTTCATCCTCCTTGCGTCGCCCGGGCCGTTTAGGCTCTCACGATGAAGCCAGCAATAGTAATCTACTATCATGTCAGGACGATACACAGACGTATATCAACTATCGGATTGAGTGGAGGGCCTTTGTCAACAATCGCGGTGTAGCTAGAGATACTGAAGAAGATCTGGTCCTGAAACCCTCCTCATACTGGCAACAAATAAAGGAGAAGGCCGATCAAGCTGTGCGTCAGCGCCTGAGGAAGGCAAGCAATCAACGCGTACGGTCATATGAGACTACTATTGTGGTTTCTGTAAACGAACGTTCTGAGCGTGACCTTACCAAGAGCTTTGAAACTAATCATATTGATTGGACAGCTATAGATAGGCAGCTTCTTAAGTGGGAACCATTGTTCCGCAAGGGGAAAAGGCTAAGACTTTCCATGACAATCAGGTATACAGAGGATACGAATCCTTCTCCACCTGGCAGAACTGACAAAAGAGGGTCTTCATCAACAACTATCCGAATGCTCGGTGATTTGGATGATCAAATTGACGCTGAAGAGTCCTCAGGGCGGCCGACGTATTGGAGAGACGTTTATAAGAAAATGCGTTGTCCAGGACCACCTTGTCATCACGAAGGACAGTACTGCTGGCAGGATCCAGTAAGTAAAAAGCATTACAGATTAAGAACGCATCACTTGCGTAGCCTCGTCAAATACGTGGAAAATCATGGTGTCATTAACACCCATGATGACGTTCCCGAGGCCATTCGAGAGCAGCTATTTGCCGAAGAACGACAACAAATTGATCGACGACAGAAAAGTCCCAACCTTCCTGCAAGTTCATCAGCGCTTCCTGCTATCAATATCAATGTCCTCCCGACGCCATCATCCCAGCAGTTGTCTTGCTCATACGGCGATCAGTCGAAATCTTCTAGAATTGAACAAGCTCACTCGTTCAAGATATCCGAGTCCTTTGAAGAAGCACTCGAAAATTATGCCAATTGGCATCTTGGACGAGTGAGTACCGTCAACTCCAGGGAACATATTATCCGAGCGCGCGACATTGCGCTGGAAAAGTGTCTTGATCTGCAGCAGATCTTCATTGATAACGACCCAGAATCTTTCCCAGGGGTTGCGATTGGTATGGCCCGCAGGTTCGCTAACGACATTCCGCTGTGGCTTGAGGATCGGGAGCACAGGAATGGTACAGAGGAGCCTGAAAACGAGTGAAACTAAATTCTTTCCTTGACATAATTGCTAGATCACCGCCTTCGCAGGCAAATTAATTCATTCATTGAATCTGTCGCGGCTTTTACTAGCTTATATGGTCGGTCGAATGGGCTAACCTAGAATACAGAAGATTTGCTGCACCATTGTAAAAATAAAGTGGGACCATCCCTGTATGGCTTTTGAACCACAATAGACAATCGGCGGGAGGATTGGAGTTGCGAACGCGTGGAGCTTTGATTTCCCGACCCGATTTTCAAAGGACATTGTCACGTGGCACAACGGTTCTGTTGAAATACCTTCCCTATTTGGGCTTAGCGGCCCAGCTTATCGCGGCTAAGTAGTCCCTAATTGGACCGGTTGTGCTTCCGAGTCCGTAAGCCCCACAAACCCCTGCGTAGATTACAGGATTCTTCGCACGTGACACAGGCCGAACAAAAGACCAATCAGCGCACGGCTTGACCCTTAGTTTCTGAGAAAATATGTGTATTGAATCTCTCCTCTCCCATTTCTAAGACGTTTTTTCCGGAAACTGCATAATAAGTTGTTCAAGCCGGTCACTAGCATCGAGGAAATCTTCGACATCTTCTAAGTTGTAGTCGTCCAATCGGAGGATTTCGATCTGGAATCTTATTTGAGAAACCAGGCGGCATATTCTTAAAGACGAGCCGAGATTATAAATGGAACGTTTGGTAAGGTGTTTCTCAATGAGACAATCCTCCTTCACGTATTCGATCATTTTTTGGAGAAGAGTCGGGTCCACCTTGTTTCGAAGTTGCTGCTTTAACATTTGTCTTTCTTCGGGATAATAAGCGTGAGTATTCGAGGCGTTAGACATGGCTGCACTGTCTTTGTCTGATATCGATTGATCGAATGAGGCTGGCAATATCTGTGTATCCTTCAAATTCATTCTCGAGAATGTGTTTTCTATAGCCTTTGCATGTAAGGCATGGGTTTTGTTAGGGAGCCAACATTCTTGTTCGTTGCCTCTGGACGCCAGCATAGTCATGACCTGCCTATACAGAGGATGTGAACCGAAATGTGATTTCCATAGATATACCACAACGGCAGATATTGAGAGTGCACCTATAGGCTGGGCAAATTCAGATAATTGCAACAACCGCTGGTACATATCATCGAAGGACTCTTTTTCTCTTGTTATTCTGTCTCTTTCAGTTTCATCACTGAACGCAACTCTTCTCGCTCTAGTTAATGCGCTTCCCGGGTCTAATGCTTTCGATATCCTATCTGCAGCTTCCCAGCTCTTGAGGAGATAGTCAAGACTATCACGGGAAATATCAATCTTAGTAAGATAACTATCCTAAGAAGAGAGGCACTTTACCGTTTTTTAGCACATATGCTGCGTAGGGTCTCAATGACACTTGGTTCGTCATACCGTCCGTGCAGGAGAGAAAATGCTGCCATAAAATGATGCAATAGTAAAGCCTTGTACTCTGGATTGCAGGGCGTATAATTCACAGCTCTTGAAGGATGAAATGACTGCACAATATTGATCTCTGTTTCGGTATCAATCCATATGGATTTATAGCCCATTTTGTAATCACCGTTGCAAGGCACATGAAATTCCTGCATCGATAGATCGCTGTAGCCTTTGGTATGGCAGACTAGGAGAACCTTAGGTCTTTTAAGACGAATTATCCGTCCCAAGAGTTGATGACATCTTTGATCTAAGGCCGTTGGCCTCTTTTCAGGTATAAACATAAACGCGTTGAGGACGGATACAGTGTAAATACTTCGCGTTCCTTTTGTTGAAAATTTGATCAGTTCATCAACCGCATTCAGTGTCGGAGACTTCCGAATGAATTCCTCGGTTGTTAGGGTATAATTCGGTGAGTCTAACGGGCGCTCTAGAATTATTATCAAATCGGAGGGACCTGATGCGAGATTAAGGGTTTGTCTAATTTCATCCTGGCAGCAATCAAACTCCTGGCCAAGCTCCTTGATCAGGTCGAGAATATGTAGATCTTCGACTTTGCTGAGGCAGACGGGTGGCACGGTCAGCATACGTCTTACAGATTTGGGAACTGGTATGTCAAGAACGCAATTATTGATATCAGCCATATTTTCTGTTATATTTCAGATAATCAGATTTTCCCGAGGAATCAACGCCATATTAGTAGCCTCTTATAAGAAGCAGAAGAGTATTGTCGACATGGAGCGGGGTAGATGGTTGAAAACATAGGGAAGCAATCATGTGATTCACGTGATTTACCGCACGTGACAGTTCCAGAAGGTAACTACCTAATCAGCAAGAGGCTTGGCACAATACGTTCGCGGGTTGCAATGGAGCGGGATTGCGCGTTGGACTTGCCAGAATAAATTCTTTCACCCACTTTAGTGTTTTAGTCATTGAAAATGTCCCCATATCAGCGCCAACGCCAACATCGACACCAATTATCTCTTGAGGGTATTTTGGACTTTTCGCAGCCTTTTACGTTGCCGCCCCATGAAAGCCAGGCTGCGCGAGCCATATTCCAGGAACTCATCAATAACTATGACAGCGAACAGAGGCCGCCAAGAGGGTATAAGCCTATTGCACTTGTTCAAGCTACATTTGATCATGTCGCATCAAAAGATACATTTTTGATGCTTTTCCTTTCATTCTTATATGAAACATTATGTTCGAGGAGAGGTGACGGTGCTGAGTCTGATATTTCTCCTTACCTCGCGTATTTTAGTGACCTGGCTTCATGGAACTCCGCCAGGTTAAGCGAAGCCTACGGCGGTATCGAAGCGTTCGCTGAGTTTATAGTTGAGAACTTCTTACTTCCACGTATGGTGTATCATTCGGATTTTTTGAAAATCGTCATCTAACTCGTCTCTAGTCAGAGCCTCGTCGGTGAAGACCCCACAACCAACACCTCCATCGTTATCCTCAATACAAACGCCTACGCCGACTGGGACAAGGGAGCGTATATCTATACTGAGAGAACACTGTCTGTTGCGCGATCGTCACCGATGCGTGATTTCTCGGAAATTCGATAGACGTGAAGCCCGTAAGCGTTTTGATCAGTATGGAGAAGATAGCAAAGACGACGATGGAAACCTCCTTCGAGAGGAAATAAACGAGCGGTTCTCATTCTTGGAGGTCGCGCATATCCTACCTCACTCTCTTGTAACGGTTGCTTCTGCGGACACGGAACTGGTAAGTAAAATCAACGCTTTTGAAAGCACTCTGTTGATTTCAGTCCTAGAGCGATTCAAAGAAAAACGCACTCCGAATTCTGGATATGTTTGATCCCGGCATTATTCATCTTATTGAGTACCCGAAAATTGATAGTCCGATGAATGCTTTGACATTAACGCTGGACAATCACCGTTTATTCGGCGAGTTTCAGATATATTTTGAACCGACCGGCATGCCTCACGAATATAGAATTGATTCAACGGAGCGGAGCCCTTTTCTACGAGATCCAATTTTTCCCATCACTCGCACACTGTCACTCAGCCCCAATCGAACTATTGATCCCCCTTCTCCTCGGCTCCTCGGTGTCCACCGTGCTATCTCGCGTATCATGAACCTTAGCGGCGCGGGTGAATACATAGACCGTATACTTGAGGACTTGGAAAAAATGAATGTGAAAGAGGACGGGTCAACGAACTTGGGACAAATAATGAAACTGCGACTTGGTGGTTGGCCCCATACATTGACCGTGTTTTAGCACTTGCCATTCCATATAATAAAATCAAATGCAAACCAGCAAAGAGAACCTAATCTTAGTAGACTTCGTATCTAGCATGAGATTGGTGGTATTTCTATCTCAATGCCCGCGTTTCGAAAGTGTCCTCTTGCACTTTGTTCCCTTGCACCCACTTTTTGAACACACCACTCAAGGAAGTTATTGAACCCTTGATCAGGGTCGTCCTCATACGATTGCCAATGACGTCGTACGAAGGCCTTCAACTCAGAAAAACACTCCTCGATTGGATTCAAATCAGGAGAATATGGGGGTAGGTATACAAGTTTGACTCCAGCTGTTGAACACATCGCTTCGATGTTTTCAGAATGGTGGAAAGAAGCGTTATCCATAACGATAACTGACTTTGGTTCTGGCCATTTCCCACAATGATGAAGCAGCTCGTCAATAAAATCTTCGAAGAATGCAGCATCGGTTGAGCCCTTAAAAATGCGAAACATGATAATTCCATCCTGTGTATAAGCTGGAAGAATTTGGTAACGCTGATCCCGATGAAATTTGGTCACCTGTGATGGAGCTATGCCAAGAGGTGACCATCCTGTCCTTCGAAAGCCGACTCTTTTATCACATCCTGATTCATCCACATATACCAGATGATATGATCTAAAATCAGATATGAAGTGCATATATGCATCCCGTAAATCAGGGTTTCGCTGACTAGCTTTTTGCTTGGAAGTCTTTTTAGACCATCCTTCACGTTTGAGAGCCCGACTAATACTGTATATGTTCACTTGTACGTTAAATTCGTCCCAAAGGAAAATTGCCATCTCGTCTAGATATAACTGAGGCTTTTCAAGAAGATGATCACAGAGGGCCTTGATCATTACCGGTGTAAGGCGGCGTGGGCGTCCACTGTTATTTGGAGGTGCGGTCACGCTACCAAATAGCTGTAAGTTGTTACGATGTCTTCTGACCGTACTTGGATGGCAGTTAACAGCTTCGACAATCTGGGAGGTAGTGAGTTCATTGCTCACAATCATATCTCGTATGAACTCTCGGATTGATAGTGCTAGTGGTGGAGCCATTTGGAGTTGGCTCTGTTATGGTTGTCAATGACGAGGATGATTAAGGTTGCATGGATCTACCGGAGGATCTACCGGAGGATCTCCCGCTAGTGGAAGTGTCCTCACGTGGTACACTGTAAAATTGTATTACGAATACGCTAAGTCGTCGCTTCTGAATGGTGAAATCTTACTTACCGTATCATTACCGAGACCTGAGACAGGGGCTCGGAATAATTTAACGAATATGGCCTAGCGCTGTCTTAGTTACAGGGGTTCAGAAACAATCAATGTGTGTAGAAACGCGCACTGGTTTTGCAAGCAAGTGTATAGTCCAGCATCAATGAGTTGTGATAAGGACACCACAACAGACCGCCCAGTATGATGCAATACTCCTTGCAATAGATACTCCCTATTATCATAATATTTGTTTTTCAGACAGAAATCGAAGAATTGTTGTATTTCTTTATCAAGTTCTAGAGCCTTATAATAGGCCTGGATTAATGATATGTCCTGAGCAAACTATCTATAAAGAAACTTTGTTATATTAACTATATAGATTTTAACCTCAATAGAGGTAGAGTGACGTTGATAGTATCTCTAGATAGTGTATTGAATTATAAAAAGAAAAGAACTACTTTATAATATTAGATTATTAATATCTTCTCTTTTATTATTTTATTTAAAGCATGGTTTGGTTAGGTGTTTATATAGTATTCTTGCTGCTTCCTCTTCTGTCCTTAAGAGGAGATCGACTCTGCTGCGCCTTGATTCTGTGGAAATGCTTTTTTTAGAAGCTATAATATTATGGTTGTTCCTGTCTATACTTATTTAATTAAATACTCTAAATAAGTATTAGGAGATATAGAAAAGATAGTATTAAGAAAGATAACTTACTAGTAGATAGAATAGTATAAGTCTATTAGAATATATACTTAGTCCCTGAATCTAAAATCTAATCTATTCTTTCTTTTGCTGTCTTTTCTTCTCCACTTCATGCTTATATCGCACACGAAAGGCCTCTACATAGCTATTATCGATATCTAGACAGTTTATATAGTTATAGTATGCCTTACTCTTGAAGTTGGGATCATAGGGCCATTCAGATCTGGCTTCGCCCAGGGGAATAAAGTAATTATCGGAATAAAGAGTACCAGAGGTATTAATAGCCTGATAATAGCACATCTCTAAAATCTCACGCAGAACATTGCTATTATCACTAGTGCCATTAAGAATGTCCTGAACGATACTTATCAATTCTTCGTTAAAATGCGACAGCATATTATGTATCAATGTATTTAGACTAGTAAGAGATATAATATAAGCTATAATATATTGTTCAGTTATATCATTAAATGTCTCTGTTACACGTGCAAGATCATTGACTCTTCTTCTTAGAGAGCTTAGCTGCGCAATATCTGAGGACTCGACTTGCTGTGTATGTATAGCTATAGTTTTAATAGATTATATCAACCTCTGAATTGATTTTTTAAGAGTTATCTGGTTTAGATTTAGATAATTGAAGTCTGATCTAGATAAGTTAGATATCCTACTAGCAAGCCTTAGTCCTCCCATTGAATTAATAAGATAAGTAAGTTCTTTGGTCATGTTTCTATAATAGAGCATCTAGAATAATTTTAGATAGTAGTTTATTCTAGATAATACTATATCACTATAAAGTAAATAGATTATAGAATAAGAAACTAGTCTATTAGATTTTATAATTTTACTGCCTAAAAATAGGGTTAAATTTCTTTCAGCTAGTTAGGATAGATCTATACTAATTATAGATAGATACTATAGAATGTCCTAAAACTTCACTAGCGTCTGTTTCTATCAATCCCGTTTCTTCGCAATCCTTATTTATTGACCTGGGATGATCCTGGATCAACTCTACTATAGATATGTTATGCCAGGGTCAGGACAGTGCTGGTAGACTTAGGTGGTGTTGGGTGGGTAGAGTGTATATGTATTTTTACTAGTCACTATTAACTTATGGGCCTTTAGCTATGTTATCAAGTTAGATATATAGTTATACTTACTCTTATATATAATATATTAAAGGCATCGCTTTTTTATTAGAAGATTATTTAAGTTTTAAGCATAATATAATAAACTTTACTCTTTATTCTCTTTAATAAATTATTCAGCGATACTTATTCTCTTAGAAGGAGACAAGCCATAGGTCCATTCTTATAACTATTTCTAGCAATGTTATAATTTTAAACAAATAGATTAAACTAGGATTATCTATATAGTTGTTAATCTTAAATTTACTATTACCCTCTGAAATAGATAAACGACTTAAAATATATAAATAATTTCCTAATGTTCTCTTAACTGATTTTTTAGAAATGAGTTCTAGCAGACTCTTCCTAGTAAGGTTTTGTATATTTGTATAAACGTGAATATTCTAGTAGAAAGGGAAGTGAATATTTAGTATAGTAGCATAGCATAGGCCTTTCTATTGATTGCTGGTGTTATAATATCTATTAATGTCTATAGGATAGTTTAAGACTTTAAAACTAGGTTAGATCTCTCTCTAGAAATTGAAATATTCCTAGATCATACTATCTATAAGATAATGCTTGTTCTTACTATCACTGGGAATTAAGTTATATTTAAGGGTTGTAAGCTTGCTATAGTTATTGCTTAAATTATTATTAGTCTTTTTCTTTTTATGCGTAGTACTATTAAGTAAATCTACTATATTTAGTAAGGATACTTTGCTGCGCTAGATATGTTTGTATTGAATAGGATAACTATAATATACTTCTATTATTTTAACTTGGTTTATTCTAAATTATATCTAAGAAAGCTCCTAATCAATAATATTATAAATATTTAATGTATTATGTCTTATTAGTTAGATAGTATGGTGCCACTTGAAATTCTACTACAGTAGAGAAATTTATAGTCTATTTATAGAAAGATAGGGCCAGCTATTAGAATTGTCTAAACTGCTAGTGATACTAATAATATACGCTTCTCTATCACTACTAGTACTCTATATTTAAGAGTATTAGCTAGCTTGCGTATACAAAGCTTGCCCTAAATACCAGAATTTTAATACTGAACTAAGGATTTATTATATCTCTAATCTGCTTAATTGCCAAGTAGAAAGTACATCAAAAAATATATTTAGATATAGAAGTAGAACTATTTACTATATTTATTATAGAATATAATATGTAATAATACCATTAAGTATAACTTAACTTTTGATCAAGTTATAACTAGACTAAACTATATATATATTAGTGTATCTCTGATCCTATCTATAGTATAGAGTAATATTATAATTATTAAGCTAATTATATAATTTACTATATCTAAATATTATAGTACTATAACTTAAAGATAGGAAATTAATTATTCTAATCTAAGATAGAATTTAGCTAAGAAAGTAGTATTAAAAAACGCGTAAAGGGAATACAAAAATTATTATATAAAAGAATTACTATTAGCATAGTGTAGCTATTCACTTAAAATGCTAAAAGAAGTTTCAGGCAGCCTTAAACTTAAATATAACACTATATATCTTTTTAATAATGCTTTATTATTATTATATAATATAGACCAAGCTAATACTTTCTAAGCCCTCTATATATTACTACTATGGCTTTTCTAACTACAACCTAAATATATTTTCTAGCCTGGATTAAGGAGAGCGGGCTGAAAGAATTAAAATGATTAAAGAATAGAGTTATAAAGAAACACTAGAAGATTATATATATAATTTAGATCCTCTTAACTTAGAATATTGATTTAATAATAAAATAACTATCACTAAGTAATATTCTATCTTATTAGAGCTCTTTACTGACTTAAAGTGCTGTCTAAGAAATAAAAAAAATAATAATCTATATCTATTTAGTAGTTGTAGTATCTATATATATATAATTAAGCAATCTCTACCCTATTTATAGCTCACTTAACCTAGGTAATAATAAAAATAAAAAG